TCGATGGAGCTAATCCGGAGGGGGTAGTAATTGAGGCATTGGGCTAGAAACCAGGAGACGGTGAGTTCTAGTCCCGCGCCTTGGGTGCAGAGCCAGCACTCTCTCTCCGCCCCAGGCAGGAGGCAATGGCGAACCGCTTCTGAAAAACCTTGCCAAGAAAACCGCAGGGATTTTTTCCAGGCAGTCTCCAAAGACCGTGAGTAAGGGGGGGGGGGGGAGGAAAAAGCTGAGTCATCCACACCGTGAACTACAATGAAAAAGCTTAGGGCATGTTTGCGACGTGACTTCTCAAGTCATACTTCGTGGCCGGGTGGGGGATAGTAGGGGCAACGCGCAGTTCCCAGGCCAGAGGGGCTGCTGGAAGGAGCCCCCATCGGGTCAGCCCTGCGAAGTAGGCCAGCCAAGCAGCACACCCAGAAGAACTTTTCTCTGACTTTACTGTGAGATTACAGAATATCTGGCAAGCTCTTTTACAACCCAAGAAAACCAGGCGGTGAATCCGTGTTGTTGGAAGCTCTCCGGGAAGGTTGTGGTTGACATTTGTGCCATTATTGTAAATACACACCACTTCCCAAGCACCTGAATTCTGATGACATGACTGCAACGGTCACAAGTGCGAAGGCCGGTTGTAGAGTCGCTGTTCGTAGTGCCCTCTTCGTAACTTTGAACAGCCGTTGAATGAAATGGTCTTTAAGTAGAGCCTCCTGGTTCAAACGGGATAACGTAACCCTTAAGTGTGTCACATAAAGAGACATGAAAAGATAAAACTACAGCATAGATGGAGGGAAGGTTTAATGGTTCCTCTAGGAAGCTTAACTTCATGTAGTTTCTGCACCACTAAAATATTAGATTGGCTTCCCGCAGCCTAACAGATTAATTTCTCTCCTTGGGCTGTATCTGTCTGTGTCGTCGGTGCATCCTCTCATACACCTTCGATATAAGGCGCAGGTCTGCAGCTTCTTTTGAGGGATCAGAATCGAGTTTCTTGAGTAGCTTCTTCACGTGGGTCAAGATATTGCTGATCTTCTCAAGCAAGGAAGGACTCACGAGGTGCTTGGTGGTTCCATATCGCTGAAGAACCCAAAGCATCCTTGAATCCTTCAACTGCAGAAAGCCATTAGGAAAAAGACAACGTGGATTGAGAGAGACTGAAGTATTGGGACCGCGAACTGTTATCATTATAACATTATTAACCCATAATGTTAATATCAATGCTTCCTTGGTTCGTATGTTTGCTTATATATATATCCAACAAGTTACGTTCTACATTCAGAAGAATAAATACGTGTGTACCTTCTTTCCATCCCCAAAGCTACCTGCTAACCAACTCGTTTATCTTTTGCAACCAGGTTTTTCACACTGACCAAAAGAAAGACTTCATTTTCAAAAGAACTGGAGTCCGTGACAATCTGTTGCTGCGACATTTCAAAGGTGAATTTCTAATAGTGAAATACAAAAACCCGCCAACATACATACATACACAAAACCAAGGGTTGGCTATAAAGTGAGGAAAGAAAAGCCGAGTATAATTGTAGTGATTAAAAGAAGAGTGAAGAAGAAGAAGAAGAAGAAGAAGAAGAAGAAGAAGAAGGAGAAGAAGGAGGAGGAGGAGGAGGAGGAGGGGAGGAGGAGGAGGAGGAGGAGGAGGAGGANGGGAGGAGAGGAGGAGGAGGAAGAAGAAGAAGAAGAGGAGGATGGGAGGAGGAGGAAGAAGAAGAAGAAGAGGAGGAGAAGAAGAAGAAAGGAGGAGGATGGGAGGAGAGGAGGAGGAGGAGAAGAAGAAGAAGAAGAAGGAGGAGGAGGAGAGGAGGAGGATGGGAGGAGAGGAGGAGGAAGAAGAAGAAGAAGAAGAAGAAGAAGAAGAAGAAGAAGAAGAAGAGGAGGAGGAGGAGGATGGGAGGAGGAGGAAGAAGAAGAAGAGGAGGAGGAGGAGAAGAAGAAGAAGAAGAGAGGAGGAGGAGGATGGGAGGAGAGGAGGAGGAGGAAGAAGAAGAAGAAGAAGAAGAGGAGGAGGAGGATGGGAGGAGGAAGAAGAAGAAGAAGAGGAGGAGGAGGAGGAGGAGAAGAAGAAGAAGAAGAAGAGAGGAGGAGGAGGATGGGAGGAGAGGAGGAGGAGAAGAAGAAGAAGAAGAAGAAGAAGAAGAAGAAGAAGAAAGAAGAAAGAAGAAAACAAAGAGCCATCGAATAACAGAACAGAATAGAATTCAATTCTTAAGTTCATTTCCAGAATAATTTTCTTTCAAAGCTTACTCTATAAACAATACCCCATAAACGAAAGGAGGCCTTTTTCAATGCCACCTTATGAAAGGCAGCCTCGGGAGGCAAAGAAACCTCCAGAAATATTTCCATTTCAAATACGAAGGAAAGATCATTTTTTTCTCACAATTTTTCCCTGCCTCCTTCATTGGAGGTGTGACTCCCTTGTCATATTATTTATTCATGTGTTTATTAAACAAATTTAAAACAAATTTATAGAGCCATCCCACTCTCGTATAGGGACCCCACATCATTTAAAAGTCCCACCGTGTGATAAAACCCCATTAAAAGAAGCCCCCCACCCCGCCCCCCCAAGGCCGCAGCCACACAATCAAATCGGCCTCTTGATCGGCACTGTTTCCCCTGGGGGTCCCCAGGCCCAGGGAGAAAGTCACGTTTTTAGGGCCCTGTGGAGCCCCAACAGCAACAGGCTGGGGGCCAGCCGGACCTCACGGGGTATGATGATCCTTAAAGAAGGGGCCACCCCCGAGAAGGCCCTTTTGCATGTATTTGTTGGTTGGTTTATTTGTTTATAAAATTTATTGGCCACTCATCTTACCTCTGGGTAACTCTGGGCAGCTTACAGTTACTGCATGTATACAGTTAAAACATAAAAAATTGAAATCAGACATAGAAACCTATGGACACAGGGGAGGGCAGAGTGGAGGGGGGGATCTGTTATTACTTGATCAACTCCCTCCATGCGCCGATCCCCCACTGGGCCCCCAAGCCGACTGGCAAAGCCACATCTTTAGGAGGGTTGGGGGCCCAACCTCACATCTGGCGGGGGGGGGGAAGGCAAGATGATCCAGAGAGCAGGAGCCACAGCAGGGAAGGCCCTCCTCCCCCAGCCCCCCCACCAGCTGGAATAAACGGGCTGGCGGGACCCCCAATCTGTCTCCTCAGCCGGCACAGGTGGGGAAGGCCAACCCCAGCGGGGGGAGGAGGTCCCTCAAGTAGCCTGGACCCGTGAAGGCCATGGAGGGCTTTGGAGGGGACCCCCGGCCCCTTGAACTGCCCCCCGAAGCAGACTGGCCACTTTTCATGGTCCCACCCGATGGCCGCCCCTGACAGGGTGGAGGGGGTCCTTGCCCTCATAAGAGGGGGGTCTCCCTGCCCCTTACTACGCAGGCAAGCTGACCCATTTTCTAGGTCTCCACCCACAAGCAACGTTTGGTTTTAGTAAATGATGAAAGAAACTGCTCCCCATGGAAGTTGAATCTGCCTGACCTCACACCAGAAAGTGCCACCCAGACTCACTCTCAGCCGGGCACCAACGTTGAGGCGGAGGCAGTCGTGAGCCTTTGTAAACGTGAGGAAAACCTGATCCTGGGCTTTAATTTTAACCTGGATGTAAACATTGAGCTGCAGGCAGACGGGCTGGAAAGGAGGCGCGTGGACGTGAACCCCGGTGTCCCACCAGTTCCAGAACTTCTGCCGCCGCCCTTTCTCGTCAAAGACGGAGCCCCTGCAAAGGCCCAGGTTCAGCCTAGGGCGGAAAAGGCAAAATTAAAATGTGGCTGAAGGGTGTGTGTGTGTGTGTGTGTGTGTGTGTGTTTCGGACTTCCAGTGGGGGGAGGATGCAGGCAGCAGCACACGCCCGTCTCCCTAGTATTTATCACTGCCCTACACCTTCCATAAAAAGCTTTGTAAACACTTTAAATGGTTGCAGGAAATGCCCCATCATCATCTTGCTGAAAACATTAAGGTCTGCGTGAAGCTCTCATGTTAAGAAACGTCCAGAGGGGACTAAAAATCAGCAGTTTGGCTCTCAAAGCTTTGCGCCTTTCTACACCCAATATGTGCAAAGAGAGCCCTAAACCCCCACGTTCTCCGTGCTGACAGTCCAAACAATCTGAATTCTGATTTAAGATTTATAGAGGCAGTTTCAGCTTGTGCCCCCTCGTGTAGCGACCCTTTAAAGTTGCAACTGCACTGAGCAAAGCGACTTACAGCCAGTCCTCGTTCTTACGGCGGCTGCAGCGCCTCCGTGATCAACATTCGGGCGCTTGGCAACTGGCAGGTCTCTAGGACGGCTGCGGCGGCATCACTGTCGTCCTGGGATGAGTGACGGCCACCGACCCCCCCCTCCCAGCCGGCTCCCAACCCGGGAAGGAAACGGGAGAAGCCGGATTCGCTTAATGACTGCACAACTCACTTCACGGCTGCTGCGATTTCCTCAACAACCAGGGCAAGAAAGATTGTAAAGTTGGGCGACTCGCTTAACGGCTGCCTGGCTTAGCCAGGGCTAGCAAGTCCGGTCCCAACTGTCGTGATAAGTTGAGAACCACCTGCCTGTCCGTTCTGGGAGGAGGTTTCTGTTCCCCTTTGGGCACTTAGCTTATATCTGGCCCTTCGAGAAGCCCTGGGGATGTGGGAGGACGGGGCCAAGCCTGCAGCCCCCCCCCAGGGAGCCCCTCTACGCTGCTGGAAGCTCTTCCCTCCCTCCCTTCCTTCCTTCCTTCTTTCCTTCCTTCCTTCCTTCCTTCTCTCCTCCCTCCGATTACCTGAGCTTTCCCTTTGGCTGGTCGTGTGCTGCGTAGCCCTGATTCGTGAAGAAGGCCAGAATTTCGCTGCCCTGGGTGTCACGAAGGACGCTGTAGGTGAACTGGGTCTCGCTCTCGTAAGTCATGAGGATGGCCAGGCGGCCGGACGGGTAACTGAGTCGGAGCTAAGGAAGGATATTGGTCATCCGGGGTGCCGGATATATTCATGGCTTAATAATAAATATATATATTTATCTTAGTAACATGGTCTTCTTTTTATTTTTGTAATTTTTATTCCACTTATATTTATTTGTATTGACAAAACTATCCTTGGCTGGTTATGCTAAAGCAGGGGTAGTCAACCTTGGCTCTTTTATGACTCGTGGACTTCAACTCCCAGAATTCCTGAGCCAGTCATAAAAGAGCCAAGGTTGACTACCCCTGTGCTAAAGTGTCCAGCTTAGTGGAAGAGCTCAGCAGCAAACATTATAATTTGGGGCAAGTGTTAGAGAGGCAGCTCAAAAAGGGGTCGCCCTGCCCCTCCCTCCCCCAAGCCCCGGGTTGACCGTAGAGATAAATGAGGAATTGCCCCCCCGGCAAGGCTTCGTTGCCTTTACACACATCCCTCGGATCCCACACGGCGCTTGCGTCCCCCGGAGAGAGGGATTTTCAGCTAGGACCCCTCTCCTTCCTCTAAATCAGGGGGGTCCAACCTTGCCGACTTCGAGGCTTGTGAAGTTCAATTCCCAGAATTCCTTGGCTGGGGATTGCCGGGAGCTGAACTCCACAAGCCTTAAAGCCGCCGAGGTTGGACGCCCCGGCTCTAAACTTTGTTCATTGGCAGATATTAGACTTGGCCCGTTCCGTCCGGGAGGAGGAGGAGGAAGCTCTTTCCATCCTGGTAGTATCTTCTCACAGGCTGGAAGGGATGGCAGAGCTGAGGAAGAAAGCAGAGGAAACAGGGGAGGCCAGAGCCCTCCTGAGACAAGGGCCCTCGCCTCCGATCACGCCCCCCCCCGGGCTGCCAGCATGCTGCACAGCCACCGAAATGAAAGGGGGGGTTTAAGGGAATCTCTCACTGTCACGGCAGCATATGGACTGGCCTCTTTGGCTTCCAATTTGTTTGGTCTTAGACACGACAGTTCTCAAATCTGGGAGCTGCAAGAGCAGCTGGTGAGCTGGGCATCCGTAGAAGTTGAATGAATAAATTATGCCGGAAAGTTAAACTTTAAGAAAGGGCTATTTAGGGTGAAAGTAAGGGAGCTGTTTAAGAAAGACGCAGAAAGAGACAGAGGCTCTGTGGAATTAATCCTACTACCCAATAACTAGTGAGAATAAGCCCTATGAGGACCAGACATTAACGCCTGGATGCAAAAACCTGGGTGGCCACTAGATGGCAGCAGAGCTATTTTTCTAGGGGCCTTCTGAGTTTTTGAAGCCCAGAGCTGGAAACGGTCGACTGGGAGGCAGGTCGTCTTTCCTTTCTCTCGCCCGGCTGCCACGGAAAAGAGGAATCACAGGGAACCCTCGACTCACGACCACGATGGAGCCCAACATTCCCGTTGCTAAGCAAGGCATTTGTTAAGTGTATTTTGCTCCATTTTATGACCTTGCTTGCCACAGTTGTTAAGTGAAGCACTGCAGGGGTTAACTTCGTCACATGGCCGTTAAGTGAATCCGGCCTCCCCCTTTGCTTGTCAGAAAGTCGCAAAAGGGGATCCCATGACACACACCTCCAGGACACTGCAACCGTCATAAATATGAGTCAGATGCTGAAATTCAGATCACGTGACCCTGGGGATGCTGCAGTGTGAAAAATGGTTGTAAGTCGCTTTTCCCATTGTGGTCATAATTTTGAATGGACACTAAATGAACTGTTGTAAGTCGAGGACTCCCTGTAGCCGCCACAGAAGCCCGCAAGGACTTTTGTTTCTCTGCAAAGGTTTTTTGGGAGACGGAGCCCCACCTAAAGGCTGGCCGAGCGGGGTCAGCCACCCACCTGGGTCAGGGAGAGGAGCTTGAGAGGGCCCAGCCGCCACACAGGGCCAGGGAGAGGCGGGTTCAGTCCATCCTCAGCCCCGGGACCCCCTTGAGTGACCCCCCCCATCTCTGCCTCTGTCTCCAGGGTCCCTGTGGTGGGTCAAAAATGGAGGAGGGAGCTCTCCCGGGGCTGCTGGGGGCTCCTGGGCGGGAGAGGGGGCTGCGTAAACCCCCAGGCGGCCGTGAGGGGGGGTGTGAGGTCGGTGTGCAGAGCACAGCCCTCCGATTCCCCCCCTTTGGGCCAGAGAGGGGGGGCCCAGCGTGCTCCGTCCACCTCTCGAGCGGGCCTTCGGGCTCCCAAACGGAGACCCCGCCAGGGAGGAGATCCGCCCACCTTTAGCTGCTCAGCTTTGAATCCCAGGTCCATCTCCAGCAGCTCTCTGGGCTCCGGATACCGTTTCTCTAGGCTCTCGGTTTCTGGCCGGGGCAGGTGGTCCGACAACTTGAAATGAATTTTGATGCCTGAAATAGGTTGAAGAGCAGATTGAATAGTCCAGAGCTTCAAGAAGGTCAGGATTTCACAGGATTTGTCTCTTTTATCACAGGGGGGGGGGAAGGGAGAAAAGATGCTTTCCCATTTTTGCAGGGGAACTTCTGGAGAGGCGGAGGCCTTATCTGGAGAAATGAAATGAGGACAAGAGAGGCTCCAGAGGGTTAGAGGGTACTCACATGGGCCATATTTTATATATTGCATAAATATCTCTCTGTATCTCTCGACGCCTCGTTCTTGTAACCTAAGAGGAAAATATTTGAAAATGAGCCGTCAGTAGGCGGACTAAGATGTTTATGCCATACAAGCAGCTGAAGAAAATGGGCATGAGGGCAGCTAAGCAAAGAAACCAATCAAATATATTGATTAAAGCACGTCAGAGAAAGCACCTGGCTTTTGGCTTTTCTACTGAGCCAAAGAACCAGATGGGCAATTTTCCTTCGACCTCTTTGCGACCCTTCCCTGTCTTACTTTATTGGAAAGGGGTTTCCAAAGTAGGAATATGCTATTGGAAAGTAGGAATATGCTAGTTTGCAAACTTAAAGCTCCCACAACTGGGCCGCAATCAATCGTGACATCTACTGAAATTCCACACATTTGCTGCCCTGATCCGATATCATCACTGGAGGCTTTTAAGAGGAGACTGGACAGCCATTTGATCAGAATAGTATATAGGGTCTTCTGCTTGAGCAGCGGATTGGACTAGAACAGGGCTTTTCAACCAGTGGTACGGGTACCACCTGTGGTACATTGGCACCTGGCAGGTGGTACGTGACCATCCTAGAAAAGTGGTAGTAGGGGAGGGGAATGAGAGCGCTGCCGGGCGGGCAGGCAGGTGTCTTGCTTGGCTGTGCCTTGGGGGGCCCTTTTTTCAGTGCCATTGTAACTTCCAACAGTCACTAAGTGAACTGTTGTAAGTCGAGGACTACCTGTACTTTATCACTTCCCCCCCTTTTTTTTTTTGGTCATCAAGTTTTTGACCCCTTGCTAGGCGACTGGTGGTACTCGGATGTTGCCATATCCTAAAAGTGGTACAATGGGTGAAAAGGTTGAAAAGCCCTGGACTAGAAGACCTCCAAGGTCCCTTTCCAATTCTGTTATTCTGTTCTCTGGAAACATGTCGGGTTTATTTAAATAAACCATTCCCCAGTACGCTGCTTCTTATATAGACTATTCTTGCCTTGCCACACCCAGGGCTTTATTTTGGAATTGTGTCCACCTGGCAAAAGCCCACTAAGGTAGGAAAAAGAATATCCTGCAGGGGAGGGTGGACATGAAGCATTCGGTGTGGACTGCAAAACTCTAGATGACCACTAGATGGCAGCGAGGAGCTAGAGTTTCGGATAGGAGCGGGAGCTGTTCAACTAGAAGGCGGCTTACTCTTCCATCAGCATCCTTCTAGTCTTGCTGTCCAGTGACCCCCGGTGATGAGGACGGATGTCGATCTCACTGCCTCGCCTCTCCATGAGCTCCTGGATCACACACTGGAAGACCTCTTTGTACGTCCTGCAACACAGAAACTGCAAAGGAGCCCCGGGTTCAGAGGAGGGATGGCCGCCCCCACCCCCCGGCCCTCCTGGGGTCTGGCCTCGGCCTTTTCAGCATTTCACCATCGCCAGGAGAGGAAAGGCTGGTTTTGTGTCCCAACGTGGCTCTGGTTTCATTGGGGTTTTTTTTTTTGCAGCCGTCATTACGCGGATCAATAAATTGCTAAGGGGTGTGGCTTTACCGAAACCTGGAAATAAATGCCAATTTTCAACAAAGCCCACCGTACAAGTGACTGCAGGAGGCTGCAAATGGTAGGAGTGCAGGCCGGTTGCTGAGTGGCCGAAGGGGTGACCGTCAGGACTGCATGGTAAGTCACA